GAAGCAAAATCAGCTAGAAAAATAGGTTGCTCACATATATATGCATACCGTTTTTTGCCCGTAGTCATACTCAACGCATGAGTTTGTTTCAGTAATAGAGAATGATGAGGAGCGACAGAAAGAGAAAAGGAAACAAACAAACATACAACACAATTTATGTGTGTGTGTGTGTGTGTGTGTGTGTGTGTGTGTGTATGTATGCGTATGTGTGCCAACTAAAAACGCAAAGAATAAGTAGGAGCGATTGTCGTTTGCTTGCGCGCGCCGATTAGACATATGTTATCAGCGTACCCGTAACGGAAAAAAGAGTACTTCTCTCCTCCTCATCTCCTCGTCAAAATAAGGGTGGTGGCATCAGCGAAGAGGTTGTTATTGGCATAAACAGACATGATGGTACTATTGCTTCTATTTTCCTTCTTTTCTCCCTCTCCTCCTCACTTAATACTCTTACTCTTGTTACATTCAATTCATACATACATATACATATTGGTGTTCATTTGCTCATTAATTCTAGACATTGGTTTTTTTTCTTTCGGCGTTGATTGATGTAATCGATTAAAACTAGATTAAAATTGTATGTGACTACGTTAGTAACTAATACAAAATCGGTGACACAGGAAAATGAGTAACGATCAATATTATCCACATCATCCACGTACGATTATACCCGTGACGGTAAATCCAAATGATGATCAACGTTTTATACGTTTTCGTTCATCTAATACACCATCAAATGATACACATGATCGAATGAGTACACGCATGCGTGAGTTTGAAGAAGAATGTCGACGATGGCGAGAAAATTTTTTTAATGAACCAAGATCCGATTCAAATAGATTTCCTTCATCATCATTAACACATACAAGACCAAGAATGCATCTTGATTTTCCTGATTTTCCAGAATTTGGTAGTATTGATTGGCCAACATTTCGTGGATCAGCACCAGGTTTTAGTTCATCATCTGGTGCAGCACATCGGTCATTTATTGAAGAAGATAATGATGGAAGAAAAAAATATAAAATTCAATTTGAAATTGGTAAGCAAAACAAAACAAGTGTTCTTTTTTTTTTTTGCTTATTCTTTTAAAATAATATTGGATTATATCATCTACAGGTGAATTTCGACCTGAAGAATTAAATGTTAGAGTTGAAGGTCGTATGTTAATTGTAAAAGGTGAGCGTCAAATAAAAGCTGGCAATGCAACTGAATCAAAACAATTTAATCGTGAATTAACAATACCAGAATTTATTGATGTTAACACTTTACAATCATATTTATCTGATGATGGAATACTTACTATGGAAGCACCTGTTATTTTAGATCGTGTTTATAATAGTTCAGGTTCATCAGCATTAACATCATCAAATCCAAATCGTATTGTTGATACGACATTTACTAGCGGACGACAACCATTATCGAATTATGGCTATGGTGGTAATACTCAAGCAAATTCATATTCATCAACATCATCAGCATCATCATTTCGACAAGACGGTCCTAGTTTTCGTGAAACAAGTAGCTTTAATCGAAACAGTCCATTACGTGATCAATATTCATCAACAAGTTCAGCATCAACTCTTATTGGTGGTAATAATAATCCATCATCGGGTACATTTTCAACATTTACACCAAAACAAAATTATTCAACTAATGATGGGATAAAAAATGTAACATATAAATTTGATTTAAATCAATTTGCACCTGAAGATATAGGTATACAAGTTAATGATACAATGTTAAAAGTAACAGCTGTTAAAGAAGAACGTAATGGACGTAATTCATCTCAGCGTGAATTTCGACGTGAAATTGGTAAATTGATTTTTTTCTATTCTTTGTTTTTCTTTTTTTTACTAATTTCAAAATTCATTTCATAGGTTTACCTGATGGTGCTGAACCAAAAAATTTAACAAATACATTAAGTGCTGATGGTGTTCTAACAATACAAATTCCTGTACGTGATTATCGACCACCCTTAACACCTAGCTATCGCTCACAACAATATAGTTTACCAGCAAATGTTACTACAAATGATTCATATTCGTTTGGAGATCAACAACTTAAACTTACATTTGATTTAAGTGGTTATAAACCCGATGATGTTAGTGTTAAAGTTAATGATAATGTATTAAAAGGTAATTTTTACTTTTTTTTTAATTTAATATTCAAAAAAAATTCAATTTGTTGTTTTTTTTTTGTTTTTAGTTCAAGCTTCTCATGTTGATACTACAGCTGGTAATCAAATTAATCGTGAATATATGCGAGAATATGTATTACCAGATTTGGTTGATGTTGATAATTTACGAGCTAAAATGAGTGAAGACTCAACACTTACTATTGAAGCACCCATACCCCATGATCGTGTATCTGCACTCAATCGCCAAATTAAGATTACGCAATAAAACAAAACAACAAAAAAGAAAGAATTATAACTATCCACAAAAACATATATATACTTCCTTCTTTTCTCTCTCTCTCTCTCTCTCTCTCTCTCTGATTCCTAGTCATCTCATGCTTTGTCTTTGTCTATGAATCAGCTGCATTTAGTTCCGGCTGTATCCGTGGGTATTTATAAGTTAGACAAGATTGTGCTATATAGTGTTTATCCTTCCACTTATTTTTCGTTTTTGTTTTTTATCACCTAATCGAGAGTATCGTAGTGTCTTACATCGAACAGTGTTAATTTGCCATACATTTTTTTTTCGTTCTCAGCTTGAAATTTCTTTTTTTCTTGATTTTTTTGTTCATTTTTTTTTTCTTCTTCTTGTTTTTTTATTCCTAATGTACCTTGCTGTGTATCGAAAAAAAATATTCATTTTTTTTCTTGTTTGTTTCGATTATGATTGTTCATTTCTGCATATTTGAATTGAACGATTTGTTTTATTACACCTAGCGAGGGATATTTTATGCAGAATATTTTCTATTTGCACTATTTCAATCATTATTTGTTGAGCGATATGGACTGTTTTTTTTCTCGATACAATAAATTGCCCGTTTTATTCTTGAAAATAGTATTGTTTTCTGATAGAAAGATGTTTATCAATGATTTCCTATGAATTTTATCTTTGCTTCTAACGAAGCGAAACTTAATAGAAATAATTTATTTAATTTGTTAGATCTATTTTTTTTTTCGATACTATAAAGATACTATTTATAGAATGAATCAATTTTTAGTTTGATATAAAATGCGCAATAATTTGAAAGGATTTTATATGTATTATAAAGGAGATGACAACATGATTTCAATATTATATATAAATTTCAAAAACAATTATAAAAAATAGAAATAATTCCATAATTGAATGTGACTGTAATGAAGATTTGATTAGAATGATATATATATATATATGACATCTATTTTAGATTCTAGTAAATGTTCGTTACAAACAAATTTCTCATAACTTTGTCAAAAACTATTGACTTTATGTTTTCAAATGAAAATAATTAATAAATGAACGATCAACTACAAATAAAAAACGCATCAAAGAATATGTTGTCTTCAAGCCAATCTCTCGAATCTATTGACAAAAAAAAAACTCAGTAATTCAGTCGTAAAAAATGATTATTTTCATCAAGAACAAATTCCAATGTGCTGTTAAATATGACCATAATCTAAATATTTACTTTCGAAATCGAAAACCTCGACATAAACACGATCAAATATATGATCAATTTCAAAGTAAATTTAGAATAAATATTTTTTTTTTGTCATATCAATATAGAATATTATTTCATCATATAATATGATAAAATAAGAAGATTTGCTTAATATAAGATTCAATTCGATATCCTTTAAGTACAACTAAATGAAAAGTACAATCACCATATATTATAATATATTCATTAAAATAAAGAAAAATCGATGAAGCTCTTAAAGAGTTACATTATATTAGAGATACTCTATCAGCGTAAATTTCACTATGTAGATTATAATTCTATTCTCTTTCCATTTATTCAAATATTGGATATATTCATTTTTGAAAAATGCGTAAATAAAAAAAATTTGAACAGTAGAATTATTCATTGTTTATGGGATATAATTCAATTGAATTTACTTTTTTTTGATATCAATAAAATTATTCATGTCGAATGAATGAAAGAAAAATAAAATATATGCATTTTCTTTGTCAACTGTTATGCAATATGCATATAAATTATGAAAACTTTGATTTACATAATTTATGACCAAATATTCTTCTCTCATATATATTCAATCAACTCACTAGTTAATAAAAAGTATTATTGATTTTGAATTACATTCACACAATATTCGACTATCATCGAATTGTCTTCTATATATGTCAATATTTTACTTTATGTTATTAATAATAACTTGAAATTATTCATTAGTAAAAATAATTTATAATTTCATCTAGAAAGTCTTGTATGATTTTTTTTTCATAGATGCGTTAAAAATAATGATTAATGAACATTTGATCTATTGTAATCTACATAGAATATTTTTAATGAGATTCAACATAATCTTTTTCATTGTTTAAATAATGAAATAAAGTAAACAAAACATAATATTTCTAAAATACTTGAGAAAAAATAATTTTGTTTTGTTTTTTAACAAAAAATAATTAAATTAATTAATAATAGCCTTGAATATTAATCATCGAAATATCTTCTAAAATTTTTATCATACAATATAGATGTATTGCAATATAGGTAACATAAACATTATCAGTTACGAATATTGTTATTTAACAAAATAAACAAATAATAATTATCAATAAGCCATGCTCTAACATCATTTTTCATGTTTTTTTATTTGTTTCATTAGCTACACTAACGATCGTTCTTAATATTCTTCATCGAATACTAATCGTTTCATTTAATGATGATGATGGATATTGACAAGAAACTATTCATCTTTTTCTTATCTAGCAGATATCAAACAAAAAAATCAAATGATCTGAAGGACACTGTTTATCTTTTTAATGGCTCACAAAAAGAAACATAGCGAATAACAATAACAAAAAAACAAGAAAGCATACGGTTTACATGTATGTTTGAAGACGTTCTTTAGATGTAAGCAATACATATAATGATGATACTCCAAAACCATATAAACTTCCTCGTAGAGCACCTTTTAAACCAGCTGTTGATCGATATAATAGACCAGTTAGACTACCACTTGCTACTGTATTTAATTCATCATCAATACCACGTGTCCAACTAATACCTGTACCAATTAAACTATAAATAAGTGCTTCAAAGAAAAAAATGCAAAAATATTTTTTCAAATCATTTTCATCAATCGAAAAACAAAATCTCACCAATAGAACCCATAGCAGAAGCCGTTGTAGCACCTTGACGTGCTATATAATTAATAATTCTAAAAGCAAAAAAACATCACAATAAAAAAAAAGAAAGAAAATTCTTTAATTCTAAACTTACGATGAAGTTCGTACAGATCCAGTTAAAACTCGAGTTTCACGAATACCTCGATAAAGTCCTGATATACTACCAATCATACTACCTAGAAAAACAACAAAATAAAGAAATAAAATTTATCTTATCGTTTAATTTTTCTTTCTCATTTTCTTCACCAGAAATAACAGAACCACCAATTGTAAAAAACATTAATTCAAGTCGACCCCGTTTTTCTTTTTGTCCTTCAGGTAGAATAAATTGCGAACCATTCTAAAATTATTCTTTGTATACAATTCTTCTATATGAAAAAGATCTATTTACTGGATTTAATAATTTTGGATCAAAATTCAAATATGGTGATAATGAATTCATACCAGGTGTAGAATGAACTAATAAAAACAAATAAAAAGTTTAATTTTCAAAAAAAAAAGAAAACTCCTTTAATATGTTATTATCTACCAGGTACTGATTCATTCATTTTATGATTTCCAAATAGATTAAAACCATGTTTATTTGAATCCATTCGAGTCTGGAAAAAAAAACACAAATAAGAATTAATTATCAAATAGTTTGTTTTATTTTATTTTTCTTATAAATAGATATGTATAATTGATATAAATCAAACAAATAATTTTTTAAAAAACAAACAATTATTGATATTCCCGAAATGAATATTAAAAGGTAAAATACAAAAACAAAACGATTAACTAACAAATTATCAAATACAAAAAAAACCAACTGCTTGAGACTTTTGATGAAATGCTTCTATTTCGTGTTTTTTTTTTTTTTGGTATTAATCTATTTTATATAAAATAGTATCTAAATACATGATTGAAATAAAATAAAACGAAAATTTTTTATCAACAAAAACAAAAAAAAAAATAAATAAAAATATATCACACACAAATAGATATTAATTGAGAAAGTAGAGACGTAATGTATGCTAATTGCTGAATTCAGGATTTTCGCCTATATATTCATTTTCAAGACGATATTGTAATATAAGAAATGATGGACGAAGATCAGGATCAGCATTCCAACATTCAAGCATTATTGTATATAATGATAATGGACAATTCAAGGGTTGAGGTAAACGATAACCTTGATCGACTCGTCGTAATACTTCAGCATTGGTCATACCTGGATATGGTATACGACCGTATGTAACTAATTCTGTTAATAATATACCATATGACCAAACCTAAATAAATATTTATAGAAAGAATAATAAACGAAAAAAATCTCATGAGACATTGTATTTACATCGCTTTTGATGGTAAATCTACTGTACAGTGCAGCTTCAGGTGCAGTCCATTTTATGGGAAATTTTGTACCTTCTTTTGCTTCATACATACCTCCAGCATATTCCTAAAATTAATGAATTATTACTTATGTTTCATTAAAATTATTAGAAAAATTAAGAATAAAATATATGATTTCAATTAAGAGTATATTTGTAATTTAAGATTTATGATGTCTTAATTAAAATTTATACGTATTTTTTTAAAATTTTTGATAGAATTAACACAGTACTTTGTCCAATAGTTTTTAAATTTTCATTCTTAAAAATATAAAATTCTCACAAACAATTCAAATTACTGAGAAATTCAATATTTTCAGGGAAAAAAAAATCATTAATCTAAATACTTTTCATATTTCATTCGAACTAATTTATATATAGAACTTAAAAGAAAGAATTTCTCTTGTTTTTTTTTTTATACAAACCTTAATAATTCTTGCTAAGCCAAAATCAGCTATTTTAACTATATTATTTTCACCGACTAGAACATTTCGAGCAGCAAGATCTATTGTAAATATTTAAATTATGAAAAAAAAAAACAAAATTTCAATCAATAAACGAATCCATTACCTCGATGAATATAATTCTGTTGTTCTAAATAAGCCATTCCACGTGCAATTTGTGTTGCTATATAAATCAATATTGACATTTTAAGTTGTCCACCTCGAGGACCTAAAATTCAATAAGAAAAAACATCTACGAAGAAAAAACCACCAATTTACCTTGTAAATACTCAAGAAGGCTTCCATTTTGCATTAATTCTGTAACAATATAAATCGGTTCTTGAATTGTACATACAGCATATAATTGAATTAAATTTGGATGTTTAAGTTTTTTCATTATTGTAGCTTCGGCTAAAAAGTCCACTGGATTCATTGAACCTAAAATATATATATATATATGCTTTTTTTTCATAAATCTCAAAGAAAAACAGAAGAAAACTCAAACCTGATTTAAGTGTTTTAATTGCAACAGGCATACGATTATTCCATAAACCTTCCCAAACATCACCAAATTGTCCACTACCAAGACTTCGAATTAATATAAATTCACGGCGGTCAATTTCCCAGTTATCAACCAGATTATGTGATAAACCATCTGGTTCAGGTTTAATAGTCTATTTAAGATAGTTTTGTTTTTACGAGTAAAATAAACTTAAATAGTATACTTACATGTACACAAGGTTTTCTTAAATTCACACATAAACCATCTGACGTTTTGGAATAATGATTAACAAGTTCTGGTAAAGAATGAAATAATATACGACGTGCTATATAAAATCGACCATCTTCTGTTTGTCTTATTCGATAATGTTTTATTGAATCATAATCTCGAACTTAACAATAAATAATATTCTTAATTTAATTAAAAGGAAAAAAAAAACAATTATTTAATTTACTCGATAAAGAAAAATCAGTTCGTCTCGTTTCACTATCTCTAATCTAAAGAACAAAAACAAAATATTATATATATTTCATTATTATAATAACATACAAGAAAGTTTCCATGTTCATTAGTATCCGACATCAGCTGTTTTTCAGCATCAATTCGACGTATCGATTTAAAATACCATCTAATTACATAAAGAAAAAACAAACAATAATTAGAATTGTTTTTTTTAAATAATAAAATTAAGAAAAACATACGGTTCAGATTCTAAACTATTTCGTTTAGCAACATAATTTGATGGTATCCAACCTTCTTGTCCATGTTCATTTTTTGCTTTCCACCAAGCATGATTTTTTTTATTTTTTATTTCAAGTAGATCACTTTTTCTTATTGTTAAATCATCTTTTGTTCGTGCATCATAATCAAATATTGCTACATATTGAAAATGACTATTATCATGTATTGATTTCGAAATAACTGGTGAAGCTACTGATGATGATGAATTTGATACACCTGATGATGATGAAGTTCTTATTGGTATATTATTTAGATTTGATTTTAGACGATTTGATACAGATAATATTGTTATTGGTGAACCGGGTGGTGCAACAATCGGTTGTTGAAAAACAAATGGTGTTAAAACTGATGGATTTGATGCACTTCGTCTTGGTGAAACGACATTATTTCGATTTTGTGTTATATTAGACTCATGATTTGGTGGTAGTTTGACTAATGATGGACGACCAGAATCAATGAAGTTTCCCATATCTTTCTAAAATAGAATACATTCCTTACAAAAAAAAAACTTTCTAAAAAAAAGAAAGGAAAAATATATATATTAATTATATATATATATTGAAATTCTATTTGCTCTGCTATGATGATGAAACATTTCTGACTGAACACTTACACCATTTTGTTCTTTTCGACCTGTAGCTTCTTGTAATCGTTGCTCAGCTTTACGAGCTAATTCTCGTACATTTCGTTGTGCTTGTTCAACAAGTGAACGTGCATCAATATGTTCAGATAAATAATTTTTAGTTGATTTTAAACCATCCTGTAATAATTGTTGTACACGTGTTTTATAAGGTTCTGCCATTAGATATTATTTGCATTCACAGAGATGTTTTTTTTTCTTACATACGGTCTCTATGTCTTCAAACAAGCACACAATTCAATGTATGTACTTTGTTTGCATGGTCACACTTTCGGTTTTTTTTCCGTTTTAGTAATGCGTTTTATATGTACAGTACGAAAAAAAAATCACTGTCGACGACGATCACTGTAGAAATAAAGTAAGGAGAAGAGAAAAAAATGAGTAAAGTAACGATTTTGTTTTTTTTTATAGCAGCTGCTGCAGCTTCTTTTTTTTTCTTTGATAATAGTAAATAAATCTTTGCACGTTGTAATTTTTCTTTCACCTATATGCGTCAATGTTACAATAAGACATCACTCATTATTATAATGAGCACCTTTATATCTTCTTCTATAACAAATTAGTCATTTGTTTTTTTTCTTATTTTATTAGTAATCGTTTGTTTAATGTAGGCGTTTGTGGTGGCGTCATTGATTATGTAAAGGACAGACGAGATCTTATTTAAATCTATCATTAAGTATATTACAAGGAAAAACAAAAAGAAAAGGTTCAATGTAATTATTTACCTTTTATTTTTATTCAACGCATCGGCTTGATCATTGATCAGTTTTCGATGACCATATGATCTAAAATTGAACAAAATAAAATCCAATTGCCCCCTTCGTTTTTTTTTCTTCATCTCCTTCATACATAGTAAATACCCGAGAATAGACAGAACGCAAATATAATGATAATACGCTCTATGTTCTTTTTTTTTTCTTCTTCTTATTCGAGCACATGCTCATATTGCTTGTGTGCTCTTTGTATTACGAGATTTAATATTTGACATTGAATGTGTACAATTCCCTTGGATTCTCTTTCGCTCTTTTTTTTTTAAAGCTAGATATCAATGAAAAAAATATGTTTGATAAAATATACGAGAAAGATCAAAGGAAGAGAAAAACTTGACAATCGATATTCGTCACTTTTTTTGACAAAAAAAAAATATGACACACCCTTGCTCTTTCGTTAAATATGCGTCAGGAAAAAGAAAAGAATGAAGAATGAAAACGAGCTCAAATTCAATATGATAATGTCTATTGTCCCGACTGCAAACCTTGACCTTCTTTAAGCATAATATCATTTTTGTTGTATTCATAGCGGATGTTGCGTTACCTCGACAGATAGCAAACATACTTCTAAGAATAATAAACAAATCTAGAATATACATATTAGAAAAAAAAAACGAGCCAAGAGAGAAAAGAGAAAGAGAAACGTAATGGCCTCTAAATATCATCTTGACTATTGTTTTAATGAAGCACTTAGAAAAAAAAACTTTTGAAAAAATTAGTAAAAGTAGTAATCTATGAAAAATAAATGTTCTAGAAGAAAAAAGTCAAATAAATTTTATATGATGCTATAGAAAGCATTAAATTAATTAAAAGGTTAGAATAGTAATACATTCTGAACATTAGAAATTTTACTTTTGAAACATTTTATTGGTAGTAAATTTGTACGAATATATCGTACATAGAGAATAGGAGATGTCACTATTGAACAGTTTAAAAATCAAGTATTGATTTAATAAAACTTTCTATTAAGAAGTTTCAATCGAATAAAACAATAAATCATTCTTCTCTAACGCTTCGATTGACGTTTTCCTTCTATTCTCACATACTACACAACACAAATCAATTAAATTGCAACTACGGATGAATAGTGAACAAAAAAATTCTTTTACATTTATCACTCGAAAATT